AGCGGACTGCAGCGGCGCCGGCTCACCGCGGACTGCAGCCCGCCGCCGGGAATACTGCAAGATTCGGGATGACCTGTGCCGTCAAGGTGCTTCTGGAGAAGTTAGGAAACTCGGAAAGGAACATCATGAGCTCAGAAAGTACTCAGCAAATGAGATGAATGTGGAACAGGAGAGACAGAAAAAGGGCAGAAAATGAAAACACTAACTGAGGGGTGCTCTGAGTCCAGGTTATAATGTATATTATATTACCCAGCATATACTGTATATAAATGTATATTAAAACTTCAAAGCAAAGACAAGTTGAAGAAAACAGAAGTCCCTAAACCGAGTCAATTAAGACACTCAAAGTTGCAAGTAGTGGATAAGACAGCAATGGGTCCCACTTGGCCAGGGCACGTGGACAAGACGGTCTCACCAACCAGGTCAACCACTGTATGAGAGCTCACTGGTTGTACTGATTTCCTCTAAATCCTCCCAGATTTCTGGCCTAGAAGTAGATAATCTGTATCCTAGCTTGTTCTGTTGACTTCATTGTGGTAGAAAATAGACCAAATACAAAAGAGGACTTAACAAATACAATTAGATTCACATTAAATCCTCGGAGTGATACCGCGAATGAACAGTAATTCCACCCTTTAAAGACACACACGGGCTCTTGTGCAGAGGGCTCTATAGTAACTTTTACCGCTGTAATCAAACTAGGTGACCAAAAAGATAGTGAGAGAGAAAATGTATCCTCAGAGAACTTCAAACAGGCCAGTTTACCCGGCAAAACTGAGAGCTGGATTTCAGACAATAAGAGAGAATTTGTAACACAAGACATCATCATAAAACCTTTTTTTTTGAAATGGTAAATGATCATTACATCTAGAATGGCCATTTAGTTTTCAGAGAAATTTCTATTTCAAATAAACGTAAGCCTAACAACCTAGATTTTTTAAATCACTATTAATGGCTATTTTAATATGTTTAAATTCTACTTCCATGTAAAAGGCAAATATTAAGTCAATAAATTAATGTAATAGATTTTTTTTAAAAACATTTTATTAAAAAAAATTTTTTTAGGTCTGGAGTGATGGCTCATGCCTGTAATCCCAGCACTTTGGCAGGCCAAGGCGGCCAGATCACCTGAGGTCAGGAGTTGGAGACCAGGCTGGCCAACATGGTGAAACCCCATCTCTACTAAAAATACAAAAATTAGCTGGGCGTGGTGGTGTGCACCTGTAATCCCAGCTACTTGGGAGGCTGAGGCAGGAGAATCGCTTGAACCAGGGAGGCGGAGGTTGCAGTGAGCCAAGATCGCGCCACTGCACTCCAACCTGGAAAACAGGAGTGAAACTCCGTCTCAAAAAAATAAAAATAAATAAAATAATTTTTTAATTTAGAAAGAATTTCAAGCTTAGCAAAAGTGATACATTCTTTATTCAGAGTCACCTACTGTTAACATTTATGGTAGAGTGTTTTTATTTATCATTTGCATGCATTTATTCTGTCCCCTCCCACACGCACACACATCTGGGGCCGGGGAGCATCTGAGCGTAACTCACATACCTCATGGCCCTTTACTACTAAATACTTTAGTGTGTATTTACTAAAACTGAGAGCATTCTTTCATGTTACCACAGTACAACTGCCAACTTCATAAACTTAACATTAATACAAAACTTTAATCTACTGTTCCTATTCCCATCTTGCCACTGGATTTATTAATATTCTTCATGGCATTTTTTTTTCTCTCCAGTCCAGAGTCCAGTGCAGGGTCAGACTGTGCAATTACTTGTCATGTCTCTGTAATAGGTTTTTTAATTAAAAATTATTCACTAGGGTATGAAAATAAATGTTCATTATAATACTTGAGAAGCATTACATGATCTTGAGTTGCCTTCAAAGATATTATATAAATTCATTTCTTTCATTTATTCATATAACCATACAAACAGTGCTATGCATGTGTGGGCAAATGATTTTACACCAAGTCACCCAGATACTTCAATAGGGAAAGAATAGTCTTTTTCAACAAATGATGTGGGAATAATTTATACCCATGGGTGAGAGGATGAACATTTATTTACTTTCTCATTTCATATACACAAATTAACTCAAAATTTATCACTGGTTTAAATGTAAGGGCTAAGAGTACAAAATTTCTTTTAAAAACCATTTTTAAAAAATTTCGTAATTTTGTGGCAGGCAAAAATTTCTTAGCACATAAAAAAGCATGA